CAGGGATAGAAGATTTTGCCTAAAAAGTATGAGACCTTGGTTTTGATCCCTAGCACTACAAAAAAAAGTATCTAATCTGTTAGAATGTTGTGAACATTGTTTGTTAAACCGTAGTCTGTAATCTGGAGTGTTATAACATCGCGTAAGTTAGAATCAGCAGTTCTTTACAAATGAAGTTGTTTTGTTTTCTTGTCACTGGGAAAATCACCATTTATATTTAAAAAAATCAGTGCATTTCATAGAACTATGTGTTATTTTGTAAGATTTTTGTTTAAATTGTGTATTTAGGTGTGGAGATGTATCAAACAATTTCCTGTCTGCTTATTTTACTGTGGCTTGTATCCTCAAATGTTTGAAAGCCTTGAATAAGAAGTTCTCAGCAGGTTTGTTTTAAAAATTAAAATAATAAAAGTGGAACTTAGTCTGGAAGGTTTTTTCTGAAAGTGTGACTGGCAAAACATGGAAGCTGCCACCCTAGTTTCTACTAGCTAAAATAAGGTGCTAGTGGCTCTCCCCAATCCAGAGAGCCTGATAAACCTAGCCCTGTCTTCAACAGCAGCAGGTGGACCTGTTGGGAACGCTTCCTCTCCATTCTAGTTTGTCCAGCCAGGATCCACCTTCATGTGACAGATGACAAAGCATGGGAGTGTTGCATGTTAAAGCTTTGGGGTAACTTGGAGATCATGGCACCCACCCCCACATCTTATGTCCTAGCCAAGAAGAGGGCTTCAGATCTTCCTGGTGTCCATGGACGGCTAAGAGCACCTCTCCATTTCTCCTACCTTGCCTGTGTGCCTCCCATCCTGACTGACATGTGGGATTTGATGAGCTAGAAGTATGCTGGCACCCTCAACATTGTGACTCTCCACTTTACATACAGCTAATCATCACAAGGCCTTTCCCAGGCTGAAACTTGCCGTGATTACCAAATGACGTACAATTGTTTGCAATATAGATAACGTTCCAATAGGGACCTCACTAAATATCCTCTAAAACCTCCTATTATCCAAGAACTCTGGCTGAACTTCAACCCTCTGCTAAAGTATAAAAAAGGGTGGTGGTGCTGGATCTATTAACCACCAACACCCCAGATCTATTTTGAATTCTGGAACTCTTAGGCAAAGTATCCTATTTACTTTGTAAAAAAAAAGTCATAGATAAGGTAAAGCATGAACCCTTGTATGAGTATAGTTAGTTAAAGATAACTGAGTTGATTACATTTAATCTTCAAGACTGGAGAGCCCATAAAGAGGACAGGGTTGACTATCTATTAAGTATGTAGTAGCTTTTGGATTTTTTTTTTTTTATAACAGATGCTTTCCTATATTGGTCAGTAGTATCTTATGGGTTACAACATTTTTTTTTAAAGTCTAAACAATTGATTGGAAAATTTCCCAAACTGAGGTCAGCTTTAAATACTTGCAAAATTGTGCTACACTGAGGGCAAATACAGAAAAAAGTAAGTTTAGATTTACAAAACCCATTCTGGTTTGACTAGATGCTGGCTGACCTCCCACAGCAGAAAGGGACAAGCACTTAGTGTGCAGTTCAGGAAGTAATGCTGCACGTCGGTGTGAGTGTGCTTCGCAGTTTTTAGATTTCTATGCAGTTGGTAGTTTGCTATTAAGATAAAATAACTTTTTTGTGTTTATGTGCCCACCCTCTGCCTCCCTCCCTCTCTTGATCGCTTCCATTTAAGAAACATCTAGCTCCCTGCTTTCTATTATCTAGCTTTTATTTTGCTTTTTATTTATATTTGGTTTTTCTCCTATAAGAACTTGTGTGTCAGATTTATTTTCTACAATTGACCTAGTTTATATTTCTTTATGACAGAGCAGTACTCCCTTGTGTATACACACCACATTTTCTTTGGCCATTCATCCATTGATGAATATATAGAGGTCATTTCTAAGATTTACTTACTAAAACTTGTGCTGCTATACACAGGGATGTATATGTATCATTGCAAAATGATTTCTTAAACTTTCTCAAGAAGGTAACTGTCAGGGGAATAGTGGGATCAAGTGAGATTTCTAGTATTTTTTAAAGAACCTCTGTACTGACTTCCGTAGTATTGTACTAGTATATTCTTACCTACAATACAGAAAGTTGCTTTTCCATCCTAGGCTCACTGGAATTTGTTGCTATTTAATTTTAGTAGTAGCCACTCTTTCTGGAGTAAAATGGAATATTGGTGTTTGAATTTGCAGGTGGCTCATGATGTTGAACATTTTAAACGTATTTATTGGACATTTGTACTTCTTCTGAGAAGTGTCTATATATTTCAATTGCCAAGTTTTTGATTCTTTCGCTTTGTGGGGTGAAATTAGAATTTTTTTTGAGTTCTTCATGTATTCTGGTTATTAGTTCTCACTCTGAGGAAGAGCTGGTGAAAATTTTCCTATAGTCAGACTATTTTCTTTTTTTTTTTAATTTCAACATTGTGTGTGTGTGTGTGTGTGTGTGTGTGTGTGTGTGTGTGTGGCCAGCTCAGTCCACCAGGGGGCGGGGCTGGCTGGCATGTGGTGCTGGAGGATTGAACCGTGGTCCCTTGTACTTTGCTAAGCTTGTTCCAAGTAGGTGCTTTAGACCACTGAGCCATCTCTCCAGCCCCCCAGACTATTTTCAATAGTCTGACTGTTCACTATTTTGGTTGTTTCCTTTGCTGTGCGTAAGTGTTTAATTTGATAAGATCTCATTTGTTGATTCCTGGTAATATTTCTTGTGCCATTGGGATTCTGTTCAGAAAGACCTTGCCAATGCTTACACCTATTTCATCTTCTAGCACGTTATTTGATCTTTGATTCATTTTGATTTTAATTTAGTACATGACAAGAGATATGAGTCTAGATTAAACCTCATGAGAATAGCCAATTTTCCCAAAAGCATCTATTAAAGAGACTATCCTGTGGGATTCTTACACAAGAGAAATGGTGCAGTATTTCAACATGAGTGTCTGATTTATTTCACTTATAATTGAGATGCACCCAATTACTTTAAAATATTTCACATTTATCCTTATTTATCGCACAGTAGTACTCCTTTGTATATAAGTACCACCTTTTCTTTGTCTATTTATATGTTGATGGGCATATGGGCTGTTTCCAAGATTAGCTGTTACAGATTGTGCTGCTATAAACATGGGTATGCGTATGTCCTTGTTATGATACTTTTAACTCCTTTGGAAGATAACTGGAAGACTTGTGGCTGGATCAAAGGTAATCTGTCATTTTAGTTTTATGAGCAGTCACCATACTGACTTTTACAGTGCTTGTAAAAGTTCACACTCCCACCAATAATGGAGAAATTTTCTTTTAGAACAAAATCAAGGAAAGATATTGGGAAACAAAAGAACTTGTTCAATAGGAAGGGAAAAAAGGGGAAGGGAAGGAAAAGGGAAGGGAGGGAAAAGGTCTTGGAAAATAGAATAGAAGGAAGAAATGGAAACATCTTTTGTAAATGAGGAGAGGAAAAATTGGAGGGAGGGAGAGGAATAGGAAAAAGGAATTAAGATGTGTTATGTACAGGTACACATTCTCTAGGATGAATGTAATTATTGTGTGTGGCAACGTTTATTAATAAAAAGATAGGGCTGTCTTCTCTGTTTTCCTCCTCTTTATCAAAGATCAAATAGCTGAATGTGCCTGGAGCTGTCTCTGCATATTCTGCTCCATTGATCCGCATGTCTGCTTCTGTGCCAGTATCATGCTGTTTTTATCATTATCACTTTGTAATATAATTTCAAATCTGGGATTGTGATGCCTCCTGTTTTGCTCTTGTTACCCAGGACTGCTTTCATCTTTCTGGGTCTTTTGTGGTTATGAATAAATTGTAGTATTGTTTTCTCTAGTTCTTGAGGAATACTGTTGACATTTATATTCCAGAATGTGTTATTGGTACTATCACTTAATTCGAAGAACTGTCTTATTTCTTCCTTGATTTCTCTTGTGACATATTGATTATTTCAGAGGGTATTGTTTAATATCCATGCATTTGTCTAACTTCTTTTGTTGTTATTGATTTCAAATTTCATTGTACTGCATGATACATGTCTTGATAATATTCATGGGATAATTTCAGTTAATTTTCATTTACTTCACACATACATGACAAAGCCGTAATTCATATGACTTGCTGCTAGATGACTTGAACCAGCAAAGATACAATGTGTAACTGTCTCACAAGATGGTGTGACAGTTTATTAGCAAAAAGACTGAGAAAATGACCAGCTCTGTTTATGCCTCCAGTGGTATAAGTCACCTAATGGTACAATCATACCTTTACTACTGGTGATTCAAGCCAGGAGAAATGTGTTAAGCATATTTTATTGGTTATATGTGCTTTATTTTGGAAAACATTCTAAGTGGTTCCAAAAAGAATGTGCATTCAATTGTTAACTGAACAATCTGTAGAAATTTATTAAGTCTCTGTCTGAGGGTTTGGTTAAACTGATATTTTGTTGATTTTTTTCTACTTGATGCATTTGCAATAACTGGACACTAAGTCTTCCCCACTGTAACTATACTGATGTATATCTGATTTTTTATTTTCAGTATTGTTTGTTTCATGAAGTTGGGTGCACTGTTGTGTAATGCAAAGGTGTTTATACTTGCTATCTCTTTCATTTAAATTATTCCTTTAATCTATATGGAGTGACTTCCTTTGCCTCATCTGATAAGTTTTGGCTTAGAGTGCACTTTTTCTGAAAATATGATAGCTAATACTGTTTGATATAGGGCTTCTGTTGCCTGCGATACTGCTTTCTACCTCTTGATTTTTAGTATATAAACTTCTTTTTGAGGTAAATGAGTTTCTTTTATATAGCATTTGATGAAAACTGATTTTTTGCAAAATTTTTGATGCATTTGATCAATCTGTGACTTTAAGAAGTTGAGATTAGTCCTACTGAGCCCCTTCTGCACGTCTCGTGGAGCCAGTGCCAGCGCCTGGGATGGGATGGGGCCGCAGCTTCCTCAGCAGCCGCCTGTGGTCTGCCGAACATGGATCCCCGCAAGGTAAGCGCGCTTTGGGTCTTTGTGAAAATGTGTAAACAAGATCTGAGCGTCTTGCACACCAAAGAAATGTGCTTCCTGAGGGAGTGAGTGGAGAGCATGGAGGGTAAAGTACCACCTGCTACTCAGAAAGCTAAATCAGAAGAAGATTTCAAGGAAGAAAATGCAGATAGTAAGAAGATGGGGAAAAACATAAAGACAGATGGGCCATCAAGTGAAGAAAGTGATTTAGAGATTGACAATGAAAGTGTAATTGAGCCAGATACTGATATCCCTCAAGAAATGGGAGACAAAAATGTAGAGATTACTGAGGAGATGATGGATCAAGCCAAAGGAAAGAAAGCAGCTGTCCTTGATGCTCTAAATGATGGTAAACTATAGAAAGCCATTGACTTGTCACAGATGCCATCAAGCTGAATCCTCGCTTGGCCATTCTATATGCCAAGAGAGCCAGTGTCTTCATCAAATTACAGAAGCCAAATGCTGCCATTCGAGATAGTGACAGAGCCATTGAAATAAATCCTGATTCTTCCCAGCTGTACAAGTGGTGAGGGAAAGCACACAGACTTCTGGGCCATTGGGAAGAAGCAGCCCATGATCTGGCCCTTGCTTGTAAACTGGATTATGATGAGGAAGAAGTGCAGTGCTTAACAAGTTCAGCCAAGGGCACAGAAAACTGCTGAACATTGGAGAAAGGATGAGCAAAAATGTGAAGAATGAGAGATCAAAGAAAGAATAGAAAGGGTTAAGAAGGCTCAAGAAGAGCATAAAAAAGCCCAGAGGGAGGAAGAAGGCAGAGGACAATCCGGAGCTCAGTATGGCTCTCTCTCCTGGTCCTTAAGCACTTTTTAAACCTTAAGAAATATTTCAAACATTCAAAAAGTCTATTAAACCCTACACTGTTTTAAAAATCATCTTTAGATTTTTTTCCCTTTGAATAACTGGACAAAGAAGATACTTATGTATGAACATTTATGACTTTAGTAGGAATAAAATGAAGCTTTTTGAGTGGGAAACAAATCTCATTTAAGAAGATAAAGTTTCAGTTGGGTATATGGTTACTAAGGCATTTTGATTTGGCTTCTTAATCATTTCTTTCTTTAAGATGATTTATTTCAGTATGACTATTGGGACCATCACTATTTTGTAAGTTTGTTTTGTTTTTTTTCCATAATTTTATTGAGAAATAAATAGCAATGAGACAGTTTCAAATCAAATTGGTAGGACAGTTTCAATAATTAACACATTGCATACTGTCTTCCTAGGGGTTAACATGATACCCTATTTACAAGCACTATTAGAACACATCCCTCTATTCATTGAATTAAGAGAATGTAGCTGTTTATCCTAACCATTTTGATTGTTTATTTTTTATTTAAAAATTTTTTTTACATCAGTTATTTTTATTTTAAAGAAAAAAAATAAAAACAATGGTACAAAATCCCAAAACAAGATTTTAGGAGAGTAACAATGGTTAGTACATTGTGTATTGTTACTGCCAAAGTAGTTTCTCATATTACAAGATATAGGCAAGAAATAATAAATAAACAACATAGGTACAAACCCCTGTTTTTTT